TCTCGAGGTGGTTTAGACTAGACTTCAAGTAGGAATTCAATAAGGTTGTAACTGGTTGCAATTCTCGTAACTATAGTAATGAAACTAATGATTGTTCTTGAGCACGAAGCTCTACACTGTAATGAAACCCATTCCTTTATATAGACCTTCGTTCTCTGTGCTCAGTCGGATCACAAATGATCCCTCTGATCCGATCAACTGGATCACTAATGATCCCTCTGATCCGGTTACCTAAGCGTCGGGGTCACGTGACGTCTATTGTGGCAGACCATCGTAACATATTGATATTGAGGAGAAGGATTCAGTATATTTATATTAGAATTATTAATATTAATATCATTAATAATAAACTTATTATATTGAATATAATTAATAGAAAAGGTTAAATTATAAATTCCTATAATAATCTGAGTTTTTTAGTACTTAAAAACTTTATAAAGAGGTTTCAATTATAAAGAAGAAGGTTTTTGAGTATAAAAAAATAAAAAGTGAAAACTCTTCAAAAGATCCTGTTTTTTTTCAAGAAATATCTTATAAGAGATATATCAATATAATATTTGATATTCTATCAATATACTTATAACTATTCTATATAATAAAGAAAAAAGCTAAACCTTTTGAAAAATATTTATAATATATTAATTCAAATGTACAGCATTTTATATCAATATATGACATTATTACAAAATATTGATTTCGATATTACCTTATATAGTAAATAATACATTACTAATTATAATTAAAAAAGTAGTGATTCTTTAATATAAAGTATATATCACTAAAACAATAACATTCTAATATTATTACATCTATTATTTCGATCTTATTTAATCATTTAGCTCTATAATATAGTCTTGTTCTTTATATTAATAAAATAATTTGATAGACTCTAATATATTATATTCTATATCGATAGAGTAATTCAGTAGAAGAAAAGAGAATAGGAGATATTAGGCTTTAAAAAGAAATTATATATTATTAATATATTATAAAAGAAGATGAATATAAGATTTATAAATAATAAATTAAAGATTATAATAAGATTCTTAAAAGACTTGAAGTACTAGAGAATAAAGATAACTCTTTAAAAAGAATACGACATTATAATTAATTATAATTTTTATAATATTTTAAAAGGAGTTGAATAAAAAGAAGAGAATTATTATAACAAAATAGAAAGTATAGGGTTTTTATAAATATATTAAGGAATTTAATAAAGAAAAGGTTTTTAAATATAATAGATTTATAATATAAACAATTTAAAAGATTTAAAAGGATTACTTAGAAGGTTGCTCATAGATTTTAATAAGAAAGTTCAAAAAGAAATAAGTTTTTATTTCCTTTTCCCATCTATCTTATTCAATTAGAACCATATACAAACATATTATATAGTCTTAGCATAGCTATATAGACCGAATCGATTATGAATTTACTACCATATAAATTATCTAAAGTTTTTTAAAAAAAGATTTAATATAAGATTTAATATAAGATTTAATATTAATATAATATAAAAAGCTTAATAATATAATAATAAGAATTATAATCTAATTTTAATATTTATTTTTATAAAATTATTTATTCTTTAATAATTTTTTAAAATAATTTTAAATAATATTAGTAATTAATTATATAGAATTTTTTTTTAAAAAAATTAGATTAGATATAATAAATCAAGAAAGTTTTTCAATTATTTTTATAAAATAAAATAAGAAATAAGGAAATATATTTTTCATTAATATAATAATAAGTGTTTAAAAAATCTTTTATTATTAATTCTTAATATATTTTCTTGATATATTAATTTCTAATATTGTTTCTAAATTTCTAATAATTTTTAATTTCTTTTCTATTTTTAATAACTTTATAAAAATAAAATAAAATAAGCTTTAATTATAAAAAAGAAATTTATTTCTTTATTTACTTTAAAAAACCTTAATATTATATTATTTTTAAAGTATTATATTAAATATTAATATATAATTAATTTTAAATATTTATTAATAAAATACTTATATATATTTATATAATAAATTAGAAATAATATACTAATATTAATATATTAGAATATCTAAATATATATAAATAGTGTTACGGGAGCTGCCTCTAGGGTCACGTGGAAGTGTCTAGAGATCTCTCGAGGTGGTTTAGACTAGACTTCAAGTAGGAATTCAATAAGGTTGTAACTGGTTGCAATTCTCGTAACTATAGTATGAAACTAATGATTGATCTTGAGCACGAAGCTCTACATTGTAATGAAACCCATTCCCTTATATAGATCTTCGTCCTACTTGGACAGCTGGGACAGCCGGGCGCTCCTGGAGCGCTGTCGTTCCTGAGCTGTCCATCACGGGACACTAATCCCGTGACTCTTGGTGTCCTAGCTTATTCTTTTGTCCTGGGGCTAATCCCCTGGGACATTACTAATCCTAGTGAAGCCTTCTTGCTTACTGTGTTCTGTCTTTCCTAGGACCTATTGTCCTGGGAACTATGTCCTATGTTTCTAGGGTATCCTATGACTAATACTATATACGTGCCTGAGGCTCTCCTGGGTGCCTAGCGTCCCCCGGTATACTGCAGCTGAATCACCGAGGCTTATAGTACCATTATAGCCTATACGTTGGTGATTCTACAGCCTGTTACTAATCCGTTGTAACAAATAGCTTTTATATAATATAATAAGAACTTTATCTTTTTTATATATTATATATGTGACGATCCTGTCATATTAGTGGATCGCTTAGGGACCCACGTGATCCACAATCCTGTATATTACCACTTCCCTCTCAAGAGCTCTTTCAGCTCTTTACCTTAGTATTCTAAATGATGCAATCGTCATAATATATATATCAAAAAATATATTTTAATATATATATAAATTAGTAATATATATTAGTATCTATATAAATTTCGATTTTAATAAAAACTAATTTATTAATTAATTAAATATTATTTGATTTAAAAATTTAATATTTTCTATAAATAAATTAAAATTATTTTATATATTTATAAATATTTTTAGAATTTATAATTTAAAGTATATTAAATAATATATTTTTAAAATAAATATAAAATATTAATATAAATATATTTTATAATTTTTAAAAAATAAATATTATATTATAAAATAAACTTCTTTTTTATTTAAAAATAAATATTTAATAATCTTTTATTATATTCTTAAATATAATTTAATTTCATATTATCTTTTAGAATATTAAATTAACATTAATCTTATTCATATTATTCTTTTAATAAAATTTAAATAATAAATATATATTTCTAATATATTTTATAAATATATTATAATTATTAATTTAAAAGCTCTTTTGTTTCTTTATTATTAAATAATAGAATAAAATCACATATAATTATTTTATTTTTAAATATAAAATTATTATAGTTAATTTTGAAACTTTTAATTAAATCTTTAAATATTAAAGTATCTATTAATAATTATAATTTCAATTTAAATATTGAATTTAAAAAAAAGATTATTTAATATTATAAATATTATAAATATATTAATATTTTTAAAGTATAAAAAGGAAAAAGAGTATTGAATTATAAAAGTAATATAATGATAAGTGATATTGATTTTTATTCATACATTTTTAAATATTAAATACACTTTTTTATTAAACAGAAATCTATTTTTAGGGTTTTGGCCATATCAACCAAATCGGCCTCGGTAGTTTGGTAAATTATAATGAGGATTATTGTTTGTAGGATGCAATGCTTACATGTGTGTTGATGATTCACGGTGAGTAAGGCATTAGCGAGTTTGATCATCGTAAGGGTACGTTTTTGGGGCGTGGAGCTGGGATGTCAGATTGAGATATTTATATTGACACCAATACTGGAAGTAGAACAGATATGAATAATCATCAGTCACTACCAGTGGATAGAAAGATGTATAGAACATGGAGGCCTGCTTACAGAAATCGAAGGAAGCTACGAGATTGTTCGGAAATTTCCAGTTACAAAATCCTCCCATTACATTACAAATCTCCCGATTGTCTTGAAATTTCGCGGCCGGAAATAGGCTCAGCACCTTCCATTTTCAGAGTCGTCGCTATTACTCTTCTCGTACGCGAATTCGGGGATGGCGAGCGTCCAAAAGCACGGGTACGGTAATTGTAGAAAACGAAGATCATGCGCTTGGAGGCAACTCCTACTCCCTTATGGGCGCATTTAGGGAGAGCATAGCTTCAGATGGCGGCATAAAGACTTGGTAACCGAGCTTGCACGAATTCAGATCTTGATGGTCAAACTGTCCTAGCTATCAGCTAAATTATCGATCGTCATGACTGCTAGATAGATAGGATGGAAATTCGTGGCTTGCAAATTTCTAATTCAAGAGACAGTTTGGAGCCCACAAGTCCACCAAAACAGAGATCTAGTCCCAATCAGAGAAAGATTGAGAATTGTTCAGTGTAGATTTTAGAAGGGAACAACGAGAGATAGTACTTTGTATTGCTTTACATTGTAGGCAGCAATAGTGATAATAAGATAATAAGATCGACGAGCGGAGCACATCAATGTCGATCCCAGAATTCCAATATAAAGTCATGATAATTCGCCAAGTTGCCGCCGTGACCTCGAGTCATTGCTGCAGGCACTGCCGAGCACTAGTTCGATGAAAATCAAGTGCTTGTCCGAAACTTTTCAGATCTATGCCAAGCCTTTTCCTCTTAATCATTTGCATCTTAGCAGACCTCATCTTCAATGTAATCGCAAAGCTTGAGTATGACATTTGAGTGTCGAACAGTTACTTAATTGATCAATACATAAGAGACCGAAATTCCCACGATCACAAACATGTGTTAATGCCAAAATCGCGAATTTTACCCGAAGTCGAAGGATAGATAATAAACGCAGATTGATACTAATAATAATAATACAAATTCTCAAGGCATCGTGAACTTATCTGATGGATGCTTGATATTCAGGGAGCACAGCTGTCCAATCCAAGAGCTGAATCTTGGCCGGCTAATCTACCCTAGTTAGCTGTACCTGTGAGGTCGAACTACTTGGAGCACATTGAACATTGTTGATTGGGTAGAACTGATTGTTCTGGCGGTAGGATGTCTTCTACGGGGTCCAAGGACGCAACGAGCCGCCAGAGTCCGGTAGTTTCGTATTGAGAGCTATTTAACCTAATTTGGTAAAGAACAGAATATTGGCTATCTATCGTTGTGCAAGGTGTCTGTCCGTTGACAACCAAACTTTGAATTGTCTTACAACGATAAGGCTTGACGCTGCCCGAATCGCCGAAAGTCCTTGAACTATTCAATTGATGAGTGTACAGAGTTACTCCGTACACCTTCTCTCATACCGATATATTTGCGTGAGGGATAATTGTACCGCGCAACCAGGTATCTTAAGCCTTTCTTTTCCCAAGCTTACTCGTGCATTCAAACAGAGATGGACCCTGACCGCAAAGAAATAAATAAGCAGAATGGCGCCATCATCAAGAAATTGTTTCCGTCAACTCTTCATGACAAATCACTCAAGTCGAAGGGATAATGGTGGCAGTGAACAGGAAGCCAAATCCGACGAAAAGTTAGTCCAACCTGGTAAGTGATATAATCTACTATAGTCGTATACCTTGATTGGTACGGGATAAGATATTGGAGAGTACACACACAACGATTTTGTGTTTCGTTTCATTTTGTATCACTCAAACTCTACCCTTTGTTCATCTGAACTTCTCCCTTTTTTGGGGGGGGGGAGGGGCATTGCAGATCAAGTCATCGTTCATCCGTACATTTTTCAACCGCTTGTAAAGCTTATCACATTGGACTCCACAGTAGCCAAAGATCAGACGCCTCTAGCCGCGATCTGGTAGCAAAACTTTTTTCCTTGTTTGGAAACGCGGGACGATTGGCATGGACCTGCAGAATGGCCAAAACCCAATCAGAGTCCAAGATCACACAATTACCCCTGAGTGAACAAACAGCCGCGGGGAGATCAGTTGCCATGGAAGGATTTCATAGGTCGCCGCCTTGTTTCAACTTTCTATATCCCATGTCATGATTTCTAACCATCAAACAATTAAAAGGTACCCCGGGCGTAAATCCTGCAGGTCCTACAAAGGAGTACAGAGTAGTACCCGCATTGAATTAAGTGAAATAGGATGCGATGGCTGCCAGCTGCGCCGAAAAGAATAGTTTCTCAACGTCTCTCTTCCTTTCATACAAATTTCAATATAGTTGTAGCCTGGTGCTCTGCTGTATGTAGATTTCTACTTATCATTCCTTCAACCTCAATTTTCTGTCTTCAGAATTACTACACTCCTTTATTTTTCAATTTCTCTTTCGGTTGAACTGGTTTCCTTTCCGATTCGATAGTCTCCGTCGATTTCAATCTCTCAATCGATTAGATTCTTTCATCATGCGATTTTCACTCCTTCTTTTGGCATCAACGCTGACTGCCTCTGTGGTTTCAGCCCAGAAGTATGTATTTGCACACGTTGTGATGGGCAATACTGCTCACCATACCACCGACGACTGGGCAACCGATATAAAAACTGCTCAGGCTGCAGGCATCGACGCTTTTACACTCAACATTGCCACTGGTGACTCAAACATCCCAACACAGGTGGAAAATGCCTTCAATGCTGCTACAAATCTCGGCAGTAGTTTCAAACTATTCTTCTCTTTCGATTATCTTGGTGGAAGCGGACCCTGGCCGGCTACAGGCTCGTCCTCGGTTGCATCATATCTCAACAAATATGGGGTAAGTTCTGCATACTTCAAGTACAACGGACAAATTTTTGTATCCACTTTTGAGGGAGTGAACAACGCCGGAGATTGGACTCCTAATGGTCCCATCCGGAGCGCTGTTCAAAGTACTGCTGGTTCCATCTACTTTGTTCCCGATTACACGAGCCTGGGCCCTGATGGATTCAGCGCACAACTCAACAATGTTCAGGGTGGTTTTAGTTGGGATATGTGGCCAGCTGGACCAGTAAACATGACGACTGCAAACGACCTTGCTTGGAAAAATACTTTGGGTAGCAAGTCTTACATGATGGGTGTCTCCCCTTGGTTCTTCCACAGCGATGCAAACCCAATTGCATGGATGTGGAGAGGTGACAATCTTTGGTCCGAACGCTGGCAACAAGTTCTCGAAGTTCAGCCTCAATTCGTCGAGTACGTATTCTCATCCACCCCTCTGACGGGCTTCCTGCTCTTGAGTGCCCCCCCTTAAAACATGAAAACTGACTCATTCCACAGAATTGTAACATGGAACGATTGGGGAGAGTCTTCATACATAGCGCCTCTGTTACATGACGAGGAGGTGCCTGCAAACTCCCTCAAATACGTCAAAAACATGCCACATTCTAACCTTCTCACTCTCTTGCCATACTACATCTCTCAGTATAAAGGCATCAGATCTAATGCCACTACCGACTCTATGCAATACTGGTACCGCACATCTCCCGCTGCAGCTGGTTTAACCGGAGGTGTACTGGGTAACAATCCAAATCAAGGACAGGTAGAATACAGTCCCAATACTCTCTGTGAAGACAAAGTATTCTTCACAGCATTATTGCAATCAGCTGCCGATGTGCACGTGCAGATTGGCGAATCACCAGTGACGAGTTATCCTGGAAAAGCTGGCTTGAACACTTGGAGCCATGGGTTTTCAGGACAGACTGGCAATGTGACCTTCTCTATTGTCCGAAATTCGCAAACGGTCAAATCTGAGAGTGGAACTGAGATTACGGCGGAGAGTTCTGTGATTGGCGGTCTCACCAACTTCAATGTTTGGGTAGGAGGTTTCTAGGGTTCTAGTTGCAGGTGTTGATGAGTAGTGACATCTTCGATTTCAACGTGCTTTCAAACTTCAAAGCCACCAGCGCCGCAAGTGGCTCACGATTGATTGCACCCGGTACCTTTTCCATTTCCTACAACCACCATTTTTTACGGCGCATTACGACGATTTTCTTTTAAGGATTAGGATAGATGGGATGAAACTAGATGGCTTGGTCTCATGGCAGGGGATGGATTTCTTTTCTTGACGCTCTTTTAGCATTTTAATTCGATTCGTTCTGTCTAACGACAGCTGGGATGGCAGAGCCTCTCCCTTTTTATCTATATACCCAATGTTTAGATATCCAGCATTGTGTACACACATACACTTCGGGGCATGGGTTACGGGATATAGACAGACTATGATTTATGAAGGATTTTTTGTTTTATATGTATTATGTTACCATCACTTTCTTTGCATATTAGATTATTAGTATGTCATCTAGACATACCATTCACTTGGCAATGAATTTCACATCAGAACAAATAGGGCACCTCAACTCTTGAATCTCAATGTGTTAAATGATTACCCGAATAAGAGCATCTTTTCAAAATGTTTCTTCATAACCTAATAGCGTATGCTAACTCGAAACCCAGCAGTGGATATAACGCGGGTGGGTCACTGGTTCAGATTAGACGCCTGAGAATCTCTCATGTATCTCGTGCATGATCTAAGAACTTCTGCCTGCCTACTAGGTACTCTCATCACAATGTCCTAGTGCGAAGTCACCTGGTACATCACTTGCTTCTGAGCATGATCCGATGAAATCCCCGATTACGAAATCGCTTCAAACTTGTAGTAAATATTCTACGCAACGAATGATATAAATAGTACATGAGCGTCTCTATTAGTCCTTCCTCGATGCTTTAGCTCGATTTGACAATCAGGCGTCGTTTGGTACCTTTTGTGAAATTCAGCAATCGAGTACTTTTGAATATGCTAACAGGTCTACGGTACATTGGGTCTATCTGCTTATTTGACTTCACAGCTATTTTGTATAGAGATGTCATAGGTCGGATTCCGGGTTGGAGTTTGGATATTTCAATGGATATTAGATGATTGTAAGAAATTAGAATAAGAATAGCAGCCATTGAGTCCACAATATGTTGCATATAAAATTGTAATACTACTCCCTGAGCCCATGGTCTTCTGTTTGTTTTTCATTAGTATGGCTATTTCAGTGTCCCAGCTTTATCAGATGTTGATAAATAAGAGCCGAGTCGGACCAATAGTTTAGCCGGCCAAGCCACATCGAACTTCAAACACTAGCCACAGGCAGTTGACGATAAGCGATAAAAAAAGTCATGTCGAAAAAAAGTTCGATTAGTGAAATAATAGTTACCACGAGCTCTTGACTCTCACTGCAATCCCATCAAGATGCCGCCATCCCAGCTCAAGAGGCTGAAAGCCTCTCTCCGAGAGCAAGGAATTGTTGGTCCTCAGCAATCGAAGAAGCAAAAGAAACAAAACGCACAGAATGGCGCAAACAAGGAGAAGAAAATTAAGAGAAGTGTCGCGCTCAATGGAATTCGAGATCAATTCAACCCGTTCGAAATCAAGCAGGCTAAAGCGCCTAAATTCGAAGTTACAAGTAACAAAACACTTGGTGGAAGGATCTCAAAGGGTATCAAGAAGCCAGGTGTTGCGAGGGGTCTTGCTGAAGAGAATGTAAGTTTGTGCCAAAAGATTTTTGACATCTGCTAATGTTCTATCAGCGCCGTAAAACTTTACTTGTTGAAATGCAAAGCAGAAACCGAGTAGGAGGTATAATAGACAAGCGTTTCGGAGAAAATGACCCCTCAATGGCCCCCGAAGATAAAATGCTCGAACGTTTTACACAGGAGAAGCAGAGGGGCCACAAGAATAGCTCCGCATTTGATCTTGAAGACGACGAATTTTCTGGCGAGCTTACGCATATGGGACAATCGCTCTCTTTGGATGGTCCTGTAATCCGTGATGATTTCGACGAGGAGGGTTTGGAGTTGTCGGACGCTGACGACCACGAGTCCGACGAGGAGCGACAAGCACGAAAACGTCGCCGAGGCTCAAATTCCGAAGGGTCAGATGAGGATGAGGAGGGAACAGCTTTGCCAGAACGAAAAAAATCGAAGCAGGAAGTTATGAAGGAACTTATCGCTAAATCTAAAATGCACAAATATGAGCGTCAAGCAGCCAAGGACGATGATGAGGACTTGCGAGAAGAACTGGACAAGGACATGTCGAACATTCATGAACTTCTTCGTGGCATGGCTCACAAACCGCCACCACCACCAGCTGCGGCGCCGGAGGATATCCCCGGCATGAACCCGGAGCGGATAGCATTGATGAACGGCGGCGACCGAGCGAAGCTGGAAAAGGAATATGATATTCGAATGAGACAGATGGCGCAAGACAAACGATCCCAACCTACCGAAAGATCGAAAACCGAGGACGAAAAGATGGAGAAGGAATCAAGAAGACTGCGAGAATTAGAAGAGAAGAGATTGCGTCGTATGGAGGGTGTAGCAGAAGAGAGTGACGACGAAGAAGACAACCGCGCACGAGGGGCAGATAACGAGGAGGAAGAGGAAGAGGAAGAAGATTATGGACTGGGAGATGGTATCAAAACACGACCTAGTGCTGCGGAACTAGGTGCCGACGATGAGGACGATTTCGTGATAGATGATGATCTCGTAGCGAGTGGCTCAGACATCGACGAGTCGGAGGGCGAATCTGATGGAGAGGACGAAGAATCTAATAACGAAGACGATGAGTTTCTTGAAGGGCTGCTTACTGAAGAGGAGGCCAAAAGACCGGAATTCTTGACTGGTGCAAACGCCCCTCTCCCCGAGGTGGAGCTACCTGCCAAGAATGGTGTTAATGGTGACCTTGCGTACACCTTTCCATGTCCGCAATCGCACGAAGAACTTCTCGAGATTACCAAAGGTATCGCTCTATTGGATCTGCCAACAGTCGTACAACGTATCAGAGCCTTGTACCATCCTAAACTCAACTCGGAAAACAAAGTAAAGCTAGGAAGCTTCTCCGTCTCTCTCGTCTCTCATATCTCGTACCTCGCAAACCGAGCTCAGCGACCCCCTTTCTCCGTACTAGAAAATATTATCCGCCACATTCATTCGCTCGCCAAAACTTTCCCTCTTGAGATTGCGAATGCCTTCAGACGACATCTCGACGAGATTAATCAATCACGAGCTTTGGCTTTGAAGGCTGGTGATCTCGTAGTTCTCACGGCTATTGGAACAATATTCCCAACCTCAGATCATTTCCATCAAGTAGTCACTCCTGCAATCTTGACCATGGGACGCTATCTTGGTCAAAAGATTCCTCAGGGTCTATCCAATTATGCCACGGGAGCATACCTTTGCACTTTGTGCTTACAATATCAACGATTATCGAAGAGATACGTTCCAGAGGTAGCCGGCTTCATCGAGAATACTTTGTGTGCTTTAGCGCCTACCAAGTTGGCCAAGATCCCAGGGAGCTTCCCATATCATGAGCCAAAGAGCTCCGTGAGGATAGAAAAGGCCTCAGCATCAGACAGACAGATTGAATTTTACGACTGTATCCCACAGGAGTTTTCGGCCGACGAGGAAGAGTCTTTGAAAGTCGCTCTGTTAGAGGCAAATATCAAAATTTTGAACGCAAGTGCCGATTTATGGACTGAAAAATCAGCCTTCACCGAAGTCTTTGAACCAGCTCTGGCGATCCTTAAACATTTGGGAAGTAAATCGTGCAGGCCAAAGCTCCCAGAAAGTACTCAAGTAAGTCATCCAGCAGATATTCATACATCTAAATACTAACTAACCCCCCAGACCCTCATCCGTAAACACATCTCCAAATTCCAAACCATGCTACAACTCGCGCACCTTGCGCGTCGCCCTCTCGAACTCCACCACCACAAACCCCTCGCGATCAAAACCTCCATACCCAAATTCGAAGACTCCTACAATCCAGATAAGCACTATGATCCCGATCGCGAGCGCGCTGAAACTGCCAAGTTGAAGGCGGAGCATAAGAAGGAGAGGAAGGGCGCTATGCGTGAATTGCGCAAGGATAGCAATTTCATTGCTAGAGAGAGCTTGAGGCAGAAGAAGGAGAAGGATGCTGCCCATGAGAAGAAGATGAAGAGACTTATTGCGGAGATTCAGGGCGAGGAAGGGAAGGAGTCGAAGGCTTATGAGAGGGAGAAGGAGTGGAGGAAGAAGGGGAAGAAATAGATATGTTTCTGAAGGACTGTGAATTAGTGGCGGTGCGGTGCCATAGGCGGTAGTGTTACCATGTAATGGGTGGATTGGTTAGTGATGTACACTTTGGTTCTGTGGACCTGAAGGAAAATCATGCATAAATGATATAGATACCAAATCGAAGGTTAAAAGAATAAGATTCATTTTCCATATTGTTTGCTCTTGGTAAAGTTATGATTTTTTCGTTGTTATCATGCCTTGTTATCGACTATATTCATATGCTACTCATCCTTCCACCCCTTTGAAAATCAATCTTGCCTTCATTGCCTCCATATATTCATGGCCCCGTCCGACCTGAGAACTAATTTACACTCAATTTCTCAAGACTCTTTCGCAACTCCTCATTCTCCTTGGTAATACCACTGTATTTGTTGATCCAGTCGAAAACCTCCTTATGCCAGACTCTTGAATTTTCAGGTTTCAGTACCCACTAAGAACACACAATATTAGCGTTATACTAAAGCAACCGAGTATCTCAGGGGGAGGCTTACATGATTCTCATCCGGAAAGGTCAAGAATCTACTTTCTACACCACGGGTTTGCAACACGTTGAATGGAGCAAGTCCCTCTGAAATGGGCAATCGATAATCCAAATCATTGTGGATGATTAGATGAGGGGTTGCCCAATTAGCGATGTGATTGGCAGGATTCCATTTTGCGTATCCTTCAGGGTTGTCCCAGATTGTACCTTCGAAATCGTGATGGGGGAAGAATAGTTCGTCGGATGTGTATTGGTTTAGAGTTGAGAAGACACCGTCGTGGGTTACGAGAGCTTTGAACTTTCGGCCCAAATCGTGACCTTGGATCCAGTTTACCATGTATCCGCCGTAACTGGCGCCACAAGCTACAGCACGGCTGGTATCGACGTAAGATCTTTATTGTGTTAATATTGATCGAAATATGTGAGAGATCAGAGAATATTTTGAAAACTTACAGGTTCTTTTCAATGTATTCGAATCCTTTGACAAGGTCTTCGTATGGTCGTCCACCCCATTGACCTTTGATGCCATCTTGCAATGCCATACCATAGCCAGTGCTTCCTGTCGGGTTCGGAGTCACTACAACATAGCCTTGTTCGGCAAAGACCGCGGGGTTCCATCGCGTGCTCCATCCTTCGTTCCAAGCACCTTGCGGCTAATTCTATGATTAGTCGATTGCAAAATGTATTGTTAGACATCGGGTCACTTACTCCGCCATGGATGAGATAAGCAAGAGGATATTTCTTGTTTTTATCGAAGTTCGATGGTCGGAATACCCAAGCGTGGACTTTGTAATCTCCAGCTCCTTCATACCAGAACTCATCAACCTGCTTTTGCGAAAGTCCAAAAGCTTTTCCGTCATCTGAGCTGGATGAAACTGTGAATCTTTCTGAGGGCTTGGATGGATCAATAATTGAATAGACGCTGTTGTCAATTAAGGAACTTCCACTAAGGAATATTTCACCACTTGGGAGAACATGCTTTTCCGTGATAGTTCCGCTATTGGTTAGAGCTTCGGGTAATTTAGTAGCATGGCGTGGAGAAGCTGGTAGCTTGAACAACTTTACTCGGCCGTCTTCTTCCGCTGTCACGTAGATCTCAGTTCCGTCGTTGCTGAACGTGACACCCTCAGGTTTCAAGTCCCATCCACCATTTCCGTCCTCTGTTTCGAAGAATTCTTGGACATTGGTGAGGTCAGTAATATCAGGTATCAACAAAAGTCTTGTTTTATCACTTTCGTACTGAATACCTGGTTTTAGTTAGAACATTGCTCGCTTAAAGAGATATAAAAATATGTTACATACTCTTCATTCTTGTGAAAATCACAGACTTAGCATCTGGCGACCACACGGGCCCTTGACTGTAACCTTTCAGGTTACCAGTCTCTACCAACAGGGGCGTTGGAGCCTCTGACTCTGTGAATGTCTTCAGAGGAATGTAGTATAGATCAGTCTTCGTATAGTTGGCTGGATCAATCTTGGGATCTTTAGCAACGAAGACTAAGCCGTTTTTACTAATATCGAAATCTCCAGTTCCCCCAAATGGTGGCACTGGAGACTCAAGAGATATTTTATGACCTGTCAAAGCATTCACCAATCCAGAGACTTTAATATCTCCAGATTCGTTGCTTTTCGTAATCGTTGCAAACCAGATCGCATTCTTGTTTTCAGTAACCCATGCATCCCATTCTCTCACAAAAAGCTTTGAGTATGTTTTAGCCGTCGACAGAGGCTTTTTAGCTGTCTCAGCATTGTATAAATTGCCGGATGGAGTAGCCAAACCTAGGAGAGGCGAGAATTAGTTATACTAGAAGCGAGAGTATATTGAAGAGTGGACAGTATCTGACGATATGACCAACATAACCGCAATACCGAACTATCATCCACGTGGAGTTTGAACCTCGAACTCATTCGGAAATTTTGAAGAAGAAAAAAGAACAAGTAACTATAGTACATACCAGAAACAGCTATAGCTACAACATCCGAGGTAAGAGCTGTAAGTTTCACGTTTGAGATGCCACCGTCGAAAGTCGTGATAATTTTGGGCCTACAAGCTGTCAATCAAAGTTCATTCATGAATGATACCTATATTGAGTCATATTTACTTCTTTTGTAAATCATCTGCATCGGCCAATACCAAATGTGTCACTCCCTTCTCTCCAGCTCTCAACCATATTACCTCGTTCTTCCATCCCAGCCACACTGGCTCACTATCATTCGCATTATCGCTCAGGGTCGAACTTTCCCCAGTACCAATATTTAACACATTAATTTTGGCAGTCTTTGAATGAGACTGGAAAGAATACGTTGAGACAGTATACAATGCCAGTTTACCATCTGCGTTTGGTGTTGCTGGTGATCTCCGAGGTGCGGAAATCAACACCTCGGGGGTGAAAGTGGAGGAATTAAACCGGATAGTCATGATTTGATTGTTCGCCTTGATTCTGCTTCAGAAGAGAATGAAATGTCTGATTGTTCGATAGTTTGATGGTTCAAATTCTCAATTGAACCAGTGTTGACAATATGGCCACTCTTACACCGCAATGGAGCTGCATATTAACATGCACGTGATATTAGAGGCAAGCTCAACAGAAACCCCGCAAATGATATCCGACACTAGCCTTGCAATCAATTTAGTCAATTTTAGCTTTAAATGTTTCTTCTGTCAACAGTCAATCTCATCCTTCTCTGATATAAAAATGTCATGATTACTTTTCCAAACTCAGCTACGTACGCACTAGATAGTCGAGGTAGTAGAATACTTATATCTCCGCCACGGATTGACTTGCCTATATTTTGCTTCAAAGGCCTTGGCAACGGATCCGTTGTTGAAGCGCCGTACCTAGGTTGATAAGGACCTCTCCACTTGGTTATGTTGGAGTCAATTAGACCCATTTTCCACCAGTCAATATCAATCATCAAATGTACTTCAGTGACCTATTCCGAGTTATGGACGTTATTCTTTCTTGCTAGGAAAACTATACATACAGTCCGGCTCTAGCCCTTTCGCGTCTCTCTGTGTTTTCGTACTGCAATTCAATTTGAGGGATTAAGGTTACATTGAGGTTTGCATATCCATAACCTTACCAAGTTAAGCCATTCCTTTCTATGCCGTGGAACCCATCCTCCTCGGTGCGCGTCAACGAATCTCATCCTCTCATCCGAGGGCCAAGTGTCTCCAGGATCGCTTCCCTTGGTAGCGATTTAATCACAAAAACTGATAATAGGACTAGAATTGGATGGGATCCCCATTTATCCTAGGCCTCCAAGAATTACAATTACCATTTCTTACATATTAGTGCGACTTATGATTATCTGGTGTTAGTTATTTATATAACCATGCTTGTTGGTTGTTTCGCGTGCTATTTGCTATCCGCAATTTCATCTTCGTCTTCGTTTTCTCTTTCTTTCACTGCGTTTCTTTCTTGTATGTTTTTCAGTAATTGTTGGCCGAAGACACGATCATGGTATCATTTCGAGGGTTTTTGCTACTGTTAATGATAATAGCAGTATGTCGAGCCGAGATAATTTTCAAATCTCCTTCCATGGCAGAAGTTGTTGACCCAGGACCGTATAAAATTCGTGCGAGTGATAGCGGGATAGTGCCCACGCTGGAACAATTTGATGATTCGAGTTGGGAAGTTGTTCTTTTCACTGGAAATGATACTGCTCCAGTAAGTTTGTTTTCGCGTGGATGCATACATACGGTGTATATTGTAAGGAAGAAAAAGAGAAATCTAAAACATATCAATGAAGTGGATTGACGGAGCGATGCTGAATACATACATTTATAGTTTGAGCTTTATATATTCAAATTATCCGGATACCAAATGAACGATCCAACAACTCAGTCCCCCCCCGTGAATATCAGAAACAGCTCAGGTCCGAACCTGGAAGACAAATAGTAAGATACCCGTTACCTCCCCATAGAACACCTACTAATACAGAGTAGCTTTTTCGGTTACCGCTCCTATCTGACATCAAATGAATCAATTTGGATCACAGCCTACTCGGATCGGTTTACTCTTACAAACATGACTGGTTCTTTGCCTGATGATGTGATTGCCGCAAATGACAATGTGAACTCGACAACTGCTCCAAAACGAACAATCTCTTGCGGCGCAAAGTCTGGAGGAGAGGTGAGTTTACGATCCACCAATTGCTTTGCTTTACTTGCATACTTCTGTTCCCTGATCTCAACTTTACCTCTATTTTCTATTATACATGCCCCCTTTACTTCCCATGAACAGCATTCGCACCTCCTTCTCCCTATTTCCTTCAGACCCTGTCGTCTATGCGCAATACTGACCCATATATCTTACAGTGTGACGAGAAGGTATTAGAAAACCTGGGACTGGGATCGCTAACGACAGACACTCCAAGTGATAGTACAACGGCCACAGCAACCACAACAGGGTCTGCCCCAGAGAACACAACTTCAATTGCAAGCCAAGCCGACTCCAACACGGATAGTGGTAAAAGATTAAGTCGTGGAGCATTTGCGGGGATAGTCGTAGGTGTCGCGGTAGCGATATCGATTGTGATTGCGGCGGGGGTGTTCTATATAATGAAAGCCAAGAAGAAGAAGGACATACTAAAACGAGAAATGATTAGAAGTAATGAAGGTTTGACATATCAGGAGTCGAATGCATTTCATGAAGGGGATACTTACGGGGGGGTAATGAAGAAAAATGGGATTGGAGGTGTGGGCAGACGAGAGGAGTTAGAAGATCGTAGAACGTATGAGATGAGTGCGGGTCACCATGGCGTAGCGGAGATGCCGCAAAACTAGTGAGCTCTATTAGGATAACAATAGACGTGGGATGACTAGGTATTCTTCTAATAGCCACTTTTTCCATATACTAAACGTGTGTATAGCGTCTTGAAAGCCTCAAAATACTGGCGATACAAGACCTTGGGCTGGATGTCATGAAACCCTAAACTCACTTCGACAATTGCAGTGCTCTCAAAAACCCATACTTACTTGAACATCTAAAGATTTACAAACAATTGCTGTACTCCGCATTGTGGGAATAGTCCTTGAGATGTGACATTCTGATTGTCCAACAGGAGTAAGTCATTTATTGATGAGACAATGTACAATCTTGAGTATGTGAATCCTCCTAATGCGAACAACCTTCCCGTATTTCTCCACTCTTCTTCTCATGACCCTTTGCGATTATTTCGAGGCGAGAGCGGATTTGAAGCGTCACCATCTTTCGACTCACCAGTGAACTCCCGGCGGAAAAGCTAGTTTGAATATCTGCTCACTAGAGCGAGTCTTGATCTTTTTGGTTGACTCTGGGCTTTGCTACAAGATCTCCTTCATGATTACAATTTCTTGTCGCAGCTGTCGAATTCGCATGTTGCCATTGGTCCGGACTTTTGATTGCTTGAACAGATCGTGAGTGCAGCCAGATACAAGTCTGCATCTTCAACAATTCTTTCAGCATCGACTGAGTTATATTCCCCTAAGGAAGGAAGTATTCGTGTATTTGGCTATCATATTCTATAAGCTTGAGTTGACGAATGACGGGTTTGTGTATCTATTTAGGTTAAATGGGTTGGCGAGGGTATAAAAAAGAAACAAATATGGAAGGAAGACTATCAGATCAGACATGATGAATACTTTTTTGAATTCCCCAAGTGTCATGTTTTTCGCAGTAGTAGAGCTTCTGAACACCCAACCCTGAAGTTTAAACCCCGCAGAGGATGATCCGATACCACAGTGCCGGTACTACGCGCGACTGCCCCACAAGAATTATCCTTCGTTCGTCAGCCTTGTAGCTCACAATTCTGAACAAAATTAAATCACAAATCCCTTCATAACCACTTTCGTTACTGAATGTAGTTTCATTAAACATGGCGATGCTATCGCCAGTAGGACAGGAGCGGTTGTTATTTTTAGGGCTGGGAATTACAACTTGTGCTGTTTTGGCCTTTGTGCGTTATCGCCTCGTTCATTTTCGTGAAGCTGCCACAATTCCACCTCCCGAGAACAAATCGCATTTTATCGACCAGAAGACCGAGGATTCTTTGAAACTCAGTACATTGGAGAAGTTGATCAAGAATCCAAACTATGGAATTCAAGAGACTGCGTCAATCATTGTCTGCGAACGTGCTCTGCACAACGAACACGCCATTAACAGCCTACTGTATGAAATTAGTCAACCAGATTACAGCAAACGAGCGATAGCAGTTCGAGCATTTATCTTAATTGTGAACAATTGTATGTATTTTTACTCTCAACTTCCCGTTTCATTAAGCTCATCTTGTTCTAGCGACTGTCAAACGAATACACAAGCCCGAAACTTATGAAGCACTGGTCAAAAGCTTGGAATATTCTGTTGAGGACTACGTGCACCATGAATACGACCCAGATTGGGATAACTGGCCCCTTCGCGACACGGCGGAGAAAAGCTGCCTCATGATAATATACGAATTGATTTACAAATACGGTGTTCAGGAACTTCTAAACGCTGGGTTTATAGAACGTTGGTTGGTGAAAGAGCCTTGGGGTGTAACCACAGAGGAACGTTCAATTAATTTTATGGACTCACTCAATAAAGAGAAGAGCTTGAATCGAGTCATTGTGCCACTATTTCATGATGAAAGGGGCAGAAGAATGTTAGAGGAAGCGAAACTTCTACCCGCAAGTCCTGATTCAACTGCAAGGCATCTCGCGATGGAAGAGACTGAGGATCAAGACATGGAGGATTTCGATAGCGATTATGCTGAGAGAAGACCAAGGGATCAGACTACAGCAGAAGATTACCTCAGAAGACGCCATAGGGAGGCCATGGTTCTGAACGATGGTACAAGGCCCTTCGAAAGAGGCGACATATATGAAAATCAACAAAGACCCAGGGGGTCTATAGAATGAACCGAAAATCTTCATGCAAGAAGAAAAACAGAACGACTTCAGACAAAATCAAAAAGTTTGTTTCAGCAACCTACACACCCAAGTAGTCATTCCCTGAGGTACGTTATACATTGGAACAATAAGATATAATACCACCCCGCTCTTGTGGTTTCTATACAAATAACTCACTGACCTGGATAATAGCTATAGAAAATATAAGTTTTCAAGTAGTGTCTATATAGCGTTTACTATGGAGTCAAAGAACTACGATATTGATATTACGGCACCCATCTCTTTGAGGGCTGAAATTTTGAGCTCCTACAATTGCCTGCCTAGATTAAGGTTAGCAAGGGTGAAGCTTTCAGATATCCTGACGTTGAAGTTGAAAGGTATTATAGACAGACAATTGGTAAGCTTTCAGTTACAAGAAAATCAAAATTCTTATTTAATATAATAACAACATTTACAAACTGAGTGATGACCTAGATTCCTAGTGCACTTTACATGATACAAAACACTCAGCTCAGAGCTTGGAGCTCAGATGACGGACTACTCAGATGACGGACTATCATGATGCTTACCCGTACCTGTCTGTAACTATCTGTACCTGCATCGATTGCAAGGACCAGGGAGGGGTCATCCTGACATCAAAACAATGTTGGACAAGCAACGAAATGGAAGATTCTCCAGAACTGTGAATTTCTATATTATTGATGTCGTAGTCAATAGAATACTGAGCCCTTGAAGCTTGTCTGTGCTTTATTCACTCATTACGAGGCATCTAAACAGTGGGTATGATGTGTACTTCCTGTGAAGGTTGATTTCAATATTAGGTGCCTAGAGACACAACACTCGTATCTATATTAAGATCCCCACACATTCCGATAGGCAGAGATATCTCGAATTGCTGGTAGATTTAATCAAATTTATCAGTTCATGAGAGACATATTAGCAAAAGCGTTGATCACTGAAAGATACTATAGGAGATCCTTTGCATGCGGGCAATATAGAATCACCCAGTGTAGACAAACAAGTGAAGCTTAAAGAAGAACCATGAGGCGTTTCGCTGGATCATCTAATTAACCATGATGGAGGACAGCTGCATCATGTCCTTTCAAGTAGAATAGGAATAGTGGATGAGATCGGATAGGTATGTAATATACACCTGCAGAAGCTTCATGATGGGGGCCCAGACTATGCTTCCATAGGAAACGGTAGAATGATCTTACAGAACAAGGAATGAGGAACCACAATTTGATTACATTGATGCCCACTGATGCCATTGGCTACATTTCCGTATTGAATGTTGACTTTGATCTTCTTCCACTCTCAAGTTCACCATGATACTTCCCTTCTCTTACAGGGGTCGGATCAATATGCCCATAAACAAACATATGTACCAACGTTGATCTCTCCCGCAGACTGCATTTGCATCTGCCCTTTGCTTTCCTCTCTCTCCTGCCATCTGCCATTCCCTAGTCTTCTTCTACTAGCTATAGGTGAAGGAGATAACTTCTACGTACCTTCCATATCCCTCACCTCTCCTCTCCCCACAAGTTCATTCATAAGCCTTCTTCCTATTGTTTTATCTAGCATTACCTTGCAATTCTTAGTAACGACCGTGGACATCAATCAGTGAAAAGGACGACAAATCATCTTAAAATAATTTATCCCAACCTTTCATTGTGCAAACTCGAATTGAACATTCACTCGGCTTTATTTTGAGAGACAAAAGTAAAAGTTAATTGTATAGGGGCTTTTATCAGACAATCGAGAACGTTGATTGGCTCACACTGGTGAATTGTGAGGGGTGTTGTACAGAAAAACAATAATAGGGAGTATTTTGAGTGGATTGGTACCAATGTCTACCACACGAATCTCAACACCAAAAAGGTCACCCAAAAAATCGACTTTCGTCAAAAATGGAATTTTAAGCACCAAATCAACACCCAATCTCAACGCCTCCTATAATTTGGCATTATTACAAGCTTCAGGAGCTACACCTGTTCCTGCATATCCTTCCAATAACGGTCAAGGGTTTGCCTTAAATAATCCTAGGTCGCAACCGTCTCGACAAGTCTCACTAGCTTCCCTTACCTCGAACTCACTTGCGACAATCCCAGATGCAAGTAAGAGATACCCTCTTTCTACAGTTTTTGATGAGGATATGCCAACAGTAGGCAACATGCCCCCATACACACCTGCTCGAGGTGGCGGTGGCCCGGAGGAACTAGAGGTTGGTGATATAGTCGATGTACCAGGTAACATGTATGGTATTGTCAAATTTGTTGGCAGTGTGCAAGGCAAAAAGGGTGTCTTTGCTGGAGTAGAATTGAGTGAAATGTTTGCTTCGAAAGGGAAAAACAATGGAGATGTTGACGGGTAAGGCATTCAAGCATTTACGTCTAAAAGCAATGAACTGATTGATGTTCGATGCAGAATTCACTACTTCAACACAACAATCGACGGTGCTGGAATTTTTCTTCCAGTTAACAGGGCGAAAAGACGTAGCACTCCTTCGCACGATGATTCATTTCCTCTTTCACCGGCTTCTCCATCGATGGGCAATAGGGCTGGAAGATTAGGATCAGAATTAAATGGTCAACCAACACCTTCGTTACCAAAGTTCAGTCAATCTGTTGGCCCAGGCAGAGCAGCAAACCCATATGTCCAAAAGACACGACCATCCATGGCTACACCTACTATGTCAAGACCAGAGTCACCAGTTCGAAGAGCACCCAATGGTAACCCATCATTGAATACTCCTGCACAAAGAGTTACATCTCGATATGCAAGCCCTGCACAGGCAAACTTTGGACAGAGCATTAGAGGAACACAAGATTCTAGAGATCCAAGTAAGAAAGTTGATTACACCCCCCGAAATGGCATGAAAACACCAGTACCTGCACGAAGTGTTTCCGCGCTTGGAACGGGTAATAGACCTGCACCAATGAACTCGATGAATTACAGTGATGAAGAGACACCGCCTGCAGAGATCGCGCGTACAGCAACGAACGGAAGCGTAGGCTCAGTCTCTTCCTTTAATGCCAAATTACGTCCTGTATCAAGATCCGCATCGCGTACAACCTCCCGGGCTACTGACGACGAATTTGAGCGATTGAGAAGTCTGTTAGAAGATCGAGACAGGGAAATCAAAGAGCAGGCTTCTATTATAGAAGACATGGAGAAGACTCTCAGCGAAGCACAATCATTGATGGAGAATAATGATGAGGATGCAAGTGGTAGACTTAGTCGGGGAAGTGTGGATGATAAAGACGCAACACAGTTGAGAGCAATAATACGCGAAAAGAACGACAAAATCGCCATGTTGACTGCCGAGTTTGATCAGCATCGAGCTGATTTCAGAAGCACGATAGACACGCTCGAAATGGCTGGTGCGGAAACCGAGCGAGTATATGATGAGCGCATGCGAGCTCTCGTAATGGAGCTCGATACAATGCACGAGAATAGTCATGATGTAAAGCACGTTGCTGTACAGCTGAAACAGCTAGAGGAGCTCGTTCAGGAGCTCGAGGAAGGTCTTGAAGATGCACGACGGGGTGAAGCCGAAGCCCGGGGTGAAGTTGAGTTCTTGCGTGGAGAGGTTGAAAGAACTCGATCCGAACTCCGCCGCGAGCGAGAGAAAACTGCCGAAGCTCTCAGTAACGCAAATTCTCCTGCGAATGCAAATGCGGGAACACATTCCAAAGAGATTGCGCAAAGAGATGACGAAATTCGTGGATTGAAAGCCATCATCCACTCGCTCAGTAGAGATGCCATACCTGATGGGAATTTCTCGGATCAGGGCACAACACCAAACATTCTACGACCTGGACTCACTCGAAGCCATACTGAAAGCGCTTCAGTTTCTGAGGAAGAGCGTCGTATCCGGGAAAAGCTAGAACGGGAAGTGAGTGAGCTCCGTGCTCTAGTAGAAAGCAAAGGCAATAAAGAAGAACAGATGGAGCGCGAGCTAGAGGTACTACGAAGGGGAAGTGTTAGCAATCCTACTACGCATCGTACTAGCGCCATGACCAGTGGAACTATGACTCAGGATAGAAACTCTCTCCAAGATACTAAGAGCACGGTTGCAAGCTGGCGAGAACGTGGAACCTCAGATGCTCACCGCAACAATCTGGAGACAACGCCTGAGAATGACAGCTACTCCTCTGCAGCCGAGGATTTCTGTGAATTGTGCGAAACCTCAGGTCATGATGTCCTACATTGCCCGATGTTTGGTCCTAATGGTAACAGCAGCAATTCTAAGGATGAGTCTCCTAAACAACAACGTACAGGAAAGGATGTTGTCATGGAGGGGCTCAAATTATCACCCAAACCATCCCAAGAAGAATACAAGCCAGCACCGTTAGCGCCAGCCAAGAAATCGCCTGATGCATCGCCTATCAAAACTATTCCCAACCTCATGGAACCAGGAGCTGCCCCAGGAAAGGAAAGTGGAGTAATTAATATGGATAAATGGTGCGGTGTATGTGAACGGGACGGACATGACAGTATTGATTGTCCTTTTGAAGACGCTTTTTAGGAAACTGCTGCTACAGATGTTTCAGGATACGCTCTCATAACGTCTTTTTTATTTAATTTTTCTTTGTTAATCATAGGAAAGGTCGCATTGCATTGCAGGAGTGTAATCCATCTGCGATATACCCTTTCGTTTCTCTATTTCGAGTATGCTTTTCTTGCGGTGAATCAGAGGGGAAGGTGATATTTTCACGAGGATGGGATGAGGTGAGACTGGGTTGGATCTGGGTAGGGGGGAGGGGAGTTTAACATGAGTTGAACGGACGTAATGATCACGTAGTATACTTTGCCAAATTAATGATTCAAATGTAGCCTTTGGTTCCAGATGGAAGTGTTCTCATTTGTTGGTATGTGAACTATTCGTGATTGATTGATTACGTGGTTGAAAGCCATCATGATGACAGTACTAGATGGAGTAGGGAGATCTACTTGCTTGAGACTCATGATGTGAATCTGCAGTGTGAGAAACAGAGTTCCCAGATGGGCATCAAGAAGAATTTCTGTCGTCACTGGATAGTTACTACCACAATGGATCACTAGGAAAGAGGATTATGCGAAGAGATAAATTTGTTTTCAGTATAGTAACAGTATATTCAGACAGCTTCCATAACGCCGTCCTCAACGCCTATGGTCTTTCCAACTAACATAGCACAAGAGAGACTCGTCATAACTTTTCCACTCCACAAGTCACTCTTACCAATTCCTCCAATTCTTCTAGCGTCATCTCCTTGATTCCAAAAATACTATTGTGCACGCGCTCAAAATTGCCTCCGAAATTAAAACTTGAGTCTAAATCTGAGTTCACATCGGTGCGGATATCCCAATCTTGACTGGGTGTGAGGGATTGAGCGATTGATACAAGTTTTTCATGAGAGATATCGATGTCTTTGATGCGGATAGGTCGATTTGCCGTTTCGCGCGGGTGAGTGAGGATTCTCCGGACGGCTTTCGACAAACTGGGAAGAGTGGTGAGGGAGATGGGGACGGTTTTGAATTGGGGATTGAGGATCGCGGTGCGGTTTTGGAAGTTGAAGAAGAGGTTGTTTTTCAAGGAGAGTTCGAGGATGGGGTTGCTGAAGAGGAGGGTGTAGCTTAGAGAGGTGTGGGTGGCTTGTTCTTTGAGGTATTCTTCGATGGCGATTTTTTGGGTGAAGAGTGGCTTGTTGGGGGAGAGTTGGTGGATGGTAGGGGAACAGAAATCATAGCTGTATTCTGAGGGGAGGAAACGGTGCACGTGGGCTTGAATGCAGGCGTCTATGAGGAGTTTTTGGGTGGGGATGGCGCTGGGAGAGAGGACGGAGATTAGCGCGTCTTGTTTAGTGAGGGCGTGGGTTAGAGAGGGGAGAGAGCTGTAGTCGACTTGGAGGACTTGGAGTGAGGGTGAGAAGGGTGTTTGGTGGGTTGTGGGATCTCGGGTGAGGATGGTGATGTCGAAGAGTTGTGATTTGAGGAGCTCGGTGAGAATTGCTTGGCCGATGGGGCCGGATGCCTGGGGTTTGTTAGTTGAGAGGGTTGGGGAGAAGGGAAGTGGGAAAGGGGGACTAACGCCAGCTATAGCGACTTTTTTGATGGTTGTGTCGAATGGCATGATGGGAAAACCGTGATTTGAGTAAATGCGATGAATACAATAATGAACGCTTATGAGAATACAATAAGAAAATTTGAGATAGAAAACAGAACTTGGGATCTTTTTCTTGAGCTTTTATACAATATCTTTCTCGCAACTGGTCATCTCTGGTTGTGCAGAGTATGGGCTGATGAAATCACACCACTGAGTGTTCCGATTCATCAACGTCCAAGAATCAGCATGCTTGGAGGCATAAAGTGCATCGCTCTTGGCCGGATGATTATCATGTTCTTTAGTCGTGAATACTTGTCGTCGACTGGTGTGATGGTCCGATGGTATTTTTTTCCTTCATTTTTTTCTTCCTTTCGAAGCTCACTGAGTCTTGCTGGGCCACACGTTGACATTCTCCAGTCGTAACAGGGACAGGGGGGTAAGAGCGTGATTCCGCATGTATCAAAATATTTTTCTTCCCATCTTCTTCCGGTAGCTCTCTTACATCTTGTGGAAGAAGAAGTCCAACAATTTGAACAGAAAATAAGTTGGTTGTTTTGTTTATCCTGTTGTTGTCGATTGATAGAAGAATATATGCTAGAACCGATCAGGGATAGTGGAATGACGAGCTCCCAAAGCTCTTGCTCGCTTGCGAGTACTAGGAACTTATAGTCTACCTAGCTCTTACCTATGTAATATCATCTACCATTCATTCATGACAATAGTTTCCTATTCTGTTACTTAAGATCTGAAATCCTTAGTACCTCCCCCAAAATATTCCAGAATGGCATTGATCTTTATTTACTCGTCTCGTTGCATTTTCCTTCACTCATCCCATAATCTTCACCCCTTACAATTCATATCATATTAGATTTGTGGAAGAAGTATTCGATATCTCCTCAGTCGGTCTTTTGACTTGTTAATTCTGCTTTGATTTTTGGAAGCAAGCATACAAAACTTCAACTTGGCGTTCTTGTTTGTACAAAAAAGATTGTCGCCTACGAACTTGGTTAGTCATACTAACTTGAAGTCAATATGGCAGAGGATCCCAATATCTTCGAGCCTTGGGTTGACTTCAAGGAAGAACCCGGTTTGAATGAGCAGTCCAAGTCTACGTCTACATACAATTCTAGTCCTGATACCAAAATAACTCCACCCTGTGGTGAGAAGTTATCGAAGATTCGGGAAAGACATAAGAATCTTACCTATCGAGCCATCCGATCTCACTTCAAACAAACGCCACTCAGTGTGCTGATGGTTAGTAGGGAAAAGGATCCATACAATCGCACCAGGAATTTATGCTTACAATACGATGCTGTTCATTCCGACGATACAACTCCTTATCTTAGTGTCTGTCCAGCTTCTCTTTATAGTAGTAGAGTTAGTGGGTTTGGATCTGTTGTGGACCTCACAAATGCAATCGCCTGCATTGAAGGGCCTTCTGAGAGCCCGTACGCTGGAGGTATCTTCTTTCTGCACATTTTTTTCCCTGTTTCATACCCTCAACGGCCTATGAAAGTGCGCTTTTTGACTCAGATTCATCATCCGAATATCAGTGCAGACGAAGATCTCCGCATCCCCAGTATTACAACCGAATGGCTTCCGGAGTATTCTTTGAAAGATGTTCTTTTGATGATATTCTCACTGCTTAGCGCACCTGAGCTAGATGATGATTCTATACCTGAGATTGCGAAGGAATATATCGATAATTACAGCGCGTTCTTCGAAAGAGCAAAACTTTCCACAATCAAACATGCGTCGAGGGAGCAACTAGATGTGAGAAAATTGGTGATAGATTGGATACAAGACTACATGACCTTTGATTACACAGTTGCTTCATGTAATAAGGCTCTCTTGCTATGGCGTCAGAACATATGGGAGACATTACCAAAAGATGGTAACCGCGAGGACATCAGTTTGCAATGCGTCATCCCAGACTCTGCCATAGTGACCATATCTCAGAACCTGAGAAGATTGTGTAGTAGCGAAATCGGACTTGGAGAGCTGGACTTGGGTGAATGGGATAAGCGTGACCAATATCTAAGGGATAATTCTTTATCATCGCTTGGAAATACACTGGTTGCAGTGTGGCTCAAGCTTCAAGATGAAAAAAGAGGTATTGAAAACGATAATTATAACCTTCCCGGTGGAGCCTCAAATGATACTGTCGAAGCGTGCCAGCGTGTGCTTAAGCAGTGGCGTAATTTAGTATGGGATATGTACCCAGAGAATACCTTCAGCGACCGTGAATCCGTCATACCAAATTCTGCTATGCTCACCATATCTAACAACCTGGAAAAGATAGGCTCCGGTCATATCAAGCTTGAGCATTTGGACTTGTGGGAATGGGATTACAGCACGCATTTTCTCGCTGAAGACAACAAATTTTTTCTTCGGGAACTTCTGCGAAAGTTGTGGGAGCGTGACGTCGAGGCAAGACAGGAAACTACAGATACAGCTGTTCCAGAAGGCGGTCACGGTTCCAAAAATGAAGGCCCGAAGTCTCTCCGGAGAGTTCAACTTGGTCTCGAGGCTGAAAGTTCTGCATCTAGTCAAAACCCATTGATTACACGGGCTGGTATCCGTTCTGGTAGTACTAGAAGATCAAGGTCCAAGCAAGAACTACAAGTTACAAAAAGTGAACCGAGTACCCAGGTCAAGGAACCAAGGTTCAAGCAGGGATTCGAAACTACAAATATCCCTCCTGGTGCCATAGCTAACAGCTCAAAGTCTGTTCAGGGAGCAGGAATTGCAAAATATGGACTCGGCTCAGAGACTAGAAGCTCAGACTCTAATAAGGGACCACAAATTCCAAAAGGCGATCTTAATCCCGACATGCAATATTTGAAGTCTGTACTTGAAAAGCTAAATTTACCAAACTCGCCAGAGGATGTCATTACCGTTGTTGAAAAGATACATTACCCATTTTCGAGCCATGATATCAGTTACTTTGCTGAAAAGCTAAAGTTCCAAATTCCGGAAGGTAAACTCAGTTCCATTGTTGAAGAGGCCAACAAACGTGTCAAGAAAAGCAATGAAGGCAAGAGCTCTGTTACAAAGTAAATGAAGATTTTCGAGCAATCTGCGTGATGATGATATACCATCGGGTATATTGCGACCATCATGATCACCATACCTCGGTAGAATGTGGAACAACATATCTATGTTGACCCAAATGGGCTTCCTTGCACAGAAACAACTACATTGATAGTAACAATACGATGAGGACATTCTGTCTCAGGGATAAGATCGAATGTTTCTGTAAAGACAAGCCAGACTACGCGATTAGCCGATATTCGATCGTCGAACCTTTTCACTTATTAAGCCTTCGTATTTTGATTTTATTATGAGCCGCAGTATTGTAAGTTTCCCTGAGTATTGAGCAAGTTTGAGAACCAAACTAATCCAGGTCTCAGCAGTACCAAACTCCTCACCTGCAGCTCGTCTTAAGAAACCAGCTGTACAGCCCGGGCTCTGGAAGAAGGAAGTTTGTCCGCAGCACACTCGCTCGTCATTCATAACTCTTCGTGATGTTTGCACTTCAGCTATCAGAATTTCCTGCAAAGATAATGGAGTCCCCCGATCATCTTCACATATCAAATAGATTGATGGGATCACTAAACGGGCAGTCGAAGTAGCTTTTGTTGGGGAGTTAGCTATACTTTGTAGTTTTAGCTTGGACTTGTAATCTCTAGCCATTGTATCATTAAGATCATGGTAGTATTTCTGTCTAGCGTTTCTTGCTGGGAGCAAACTTTCCTGATAATCACTATTAGTGTTTACAGTCCACCTTGTAGATTTCAAACCAAAACATTCATTTTCACAATATTATCATAGCATTTCTAACTAGTGATTTTCTGGATACTAGTACCTTTCGGAACCATAAACGCACATATAAGAAAGCTAGTTTCACTACCCTGCGAGCTTTCCCTCTTTTTGTTCTCTCAGTAATGCTCATCTCATCAAGAGCACTGGTAATAGGTACTGCGCCCGGAAATGACTACACACTATGACTGACTCCTTTCCCTGTATTAAACTCTTGCTGCAAGATATTTCTGATAGCGGTAATATCGTCTGTGAGATTACTGTTGGGGATGTATGACATTGTTGTGCAGGGGCATTTAAAAAAAAACTTTAAAAAGGGTCGATGTGATGATTTATTGTCTGACAAATGATTGAATTATAGATTTTGAGAAAAAAAAAAGTAGGAGAAGATTGGGTTAACTCTCAATTTTGGAAGTTTGGAAGCGTTTACGAATTAATATGTGGAGCTACTGAACGTCTAGATGGCTTGGCATGACCTAGAATTAGCACTACCATATCGAAGAATACACGTTTGAAGAGATCGTAAACAAGATGTTTCTGATTTTTACTCCTTTGCAAAATATAAAATATATGTTTCCAATACAGTTACTGGCTAGAGATTGTCATGTTTTTACTTCAGATTCCAAGATATAATAGGTGTAGCGTCTTGGCGTTTTCTCAATGGGGGGATGAAAGAAATAGCCATATTCTGTAGAATAGGAGTACGAAATTGTTTCGCACAAATCGACCTTGCAAGTTGTAAAGACCAATACTACGCTATTAGATCTTGAGGTCTCGATAGATTTCCTCTATTTTCGTCCGTTGCCGCGTACTATGACTCTATCTTGTCATTGCCAGTTTCTACTCGTATATCTTTCTTTTTGACTCGGTATACTTATTCCCATAGCATGCATGCTCCAACATTCTTCTTAAATGATGAGTAATCGGAATTTCCCAATTGATGGCATAACTTTTTAAAGAGTCAAATTGGCTCTCGGCAGCTCGGCAGCGTGGCATTGCTGACATGATTCTTTGTTTCTCAAGACTCGCGCATCAAAGAATCATACCAAAATCTGCATACCACAAACCAAATTTTTGCTTTCTTTTGGAGAAAATCTCAACCCCGACAGATCCGTGCTTTTATTTCATTCCAGAATATTTCCTCTTCTATCCTTCGTCAAGCGTAGGTCGTTCTCCTTCTTTGTCTGTGTAAATCTCCTACTAGTCAAGTGGACAGGATACATATTTCGGAAAGCGCTTATGCCACTTTCCTCTAATCAAGATTGACCACTCCGTTTGCGTTCGTTTTCGGTGTTATAATTCATGGCGTACCAATCGCCATCTGAGGAGCAGTTTCGGGCTACATTGCCACCGATTCCTTTAACAGATAGACATTCTCTTTCGCATTCAAAATCTCAATCTCAACTAGAAACAAGCGCGCATGCAAAATTAGGTCCATGGGCACAGTGGGGTCATACATCTGCTTCTTTGAGTGGCTTGGAAACTATGAAGCGGCCTCAATTGAAACATAGTCAAACTACGGGAGATAAGTTGCGCTTCAATAGGGATCCACTACCAGCAATTCCTGGGGTTTTAGAGAAGAAATTGGGTAGGGGGAGTAGGAGGCTCGACGGGAGGTTGAATGAGTATGGAGATCCTGTTCAAAAACCCTCGATGGATCTTTCTATCTCAACAAATCACGATGATGATATTGAGAAAAGCGGAGGTGTTCGAAGAGTGGCGAGAATTCACTCTTCGCCTGAAACTAGTACATTGCCTCCACCTCCCGAACCACCCTTGACAAAATCGGCAACGAAGGTGATGCAGAGAACGGGCTACGATCCAACTATGGAAATAAGAGAAGGGAAAAGTCGACAGTCATCGTTAGCTACAGATAACTCTGACAGTTCTGGTAGCATTTACAGTCAAGATGATAATGTCAATTTCCACATGGCTCACCATAACCAAACTATCGGTTCTGCTCCTGTTTTTCCGATGCAGCGGGATGAGGGAAGCTCGTACTTCTCCAACTACATGCCTAGTAATCCATCAAGCCGGGCCACGTCGTCACCGAGATCATTAGTCATATCGTCAGAATATAAAGAACGAGTATCAAGGTTTATGCAAGGTCATTTAGATCTCAATACTAGTCAAGATCTGGCATGCACTAGTGGTCTCGAGGACTTGATAGATCAAGAAGTGCAGTACGAACATCTGACTGGGCGCGAATATCCACTCAGGCATAAGTCTCATAACGATGATGTCGCATTAATGCCACCACCACTCTCATTGCCAACAAAGAGAAGTCGACAAAGCTATTTTTGTGAAAGCCCAGATAATTGGGAGCCACGAACCCCGGTTGCTCCATTTTTGGGTAGCGAAGAGCAGCAGAGTTTGCATAGACCCTCTGCAGTCTCACATACATCATCCATGGTACCGCCGAACATAATAATACCAGAATCGAATAAACCTCGAAAGAGAAATTTTTCAAGTGGTCTACGCCCACTGAAGAGTCCATTTCCATTTCTCTCAACTAACATGATACCGGATTCTCCAAAAGCGACCGGCCCAACAGTGTCATCAGGGGAAATGTTATCGGGTGCTTTAAAACGGCTATCTGGAAGCACGAAGATGTCGCCAACAGCGAGCAATGAAATAATTTCCAATGCTAGTAGGAGTGCGATGGGCCCAGATACGCCCATGCCGAAGAAATCAGGATTTATGGGGATTAAAGGGGCCCCAGACGTGATACAGAAAGGTAATGAGCATATTCATGAAGTGGTAGAGAAGGTAAAATTGAAAGTCAATAAGAAAGAGAGGAGGAGAAGGGAATTGAAGAAGCAAATACTAGTCGTTGGGATTATGGATCAGACACCAGGTTGGTTACCAATGTTCATGAGGGATTCTGGTATGCACACTACTAATTGCTTTTTTAAATAGACGGACGAACATCGGAATGGCTTTGATATGAACATAACGTTCTAAAAAGTGGGAGAAAGCAATGCAAAGTCATCTTCTAGGACTTCAAGTAGACTGCACTTCTGGATAGCTAGGTTGGAGTACTGTCTGTAGCATAGTATGGCTCACGCCATGCTTTCATGAAGGTCAAATAGAGGCCAAATTCCTGTTGCACACGTATCAAATGTGTCAATGGATATATTGTAACAACATTAAGAATTCAGTGTATTTTCTTGGACGACAGTTCTGATTTTCTTGCGTGAATATTACTGGCCAACGTTTGATAAGGAATGTAATATAGTCGGTCACCACCTAGTAATTGCCGACTATTATAAGACGTCCGACTCGATATAGACTGAAACCGTTGTCCCGGACGATACCAATCATTTCCTTTTCCGTGTTAATTGAGAGAGATCTCTATTCGACGAATGAATCTACTGACGACGAATCATTATCTTCTTATAACGTAAACAATGTACCTGCAGCTTCAACCCCGCATCTTTGTATGACCCTTACAAAGGCTTGGAATACAATATAACTTCGTATTTGACGTGCTCATGACTTTGATATCTTGGTTGACACCCTTCAGCTTGTCTTCCTCTTTGATAAATCGACAACCTACTTTGAATCAAGTTTGTGTTAGTTGTGGAAGTCCGTGAACGATGTCGAGGTGAGTTGTTGATCTACCATATAACCCCTTTCACGTGCCATGTGCCACGTGCCACTGGATTGACTCGTAATGTTTCGCGGCTTCCAACCTCCACACTTTCCCCCGCGCTTTCTCAAAGCTTACCCCTGTTGAGCCTCCACTTCTACGTAACAAGCGGCGTAGTAGAAGAGTTACCACTTCCCGCGACTGAGCTTCTATCATTAACCATCTACTCTTTACAACTGATAATTGTTTTTCCTTTCTCAGTTCACTATCTCATCTCGAATCCATCGATAAAATCATCCAATTGCCAATTATGGGTGGTGAAACTATACTAAAGCCAGAGCTCAAGAGCTCATATCCTGTCAGGTCTGAAGGACCGAAGGGTAAATTGATATCTAATCTCTACAAAGATCGAATTGGTCAATTCTATGCCGGTGGACAATATGAAGGACACAACTTACGAGCGTATGTCTTTTCAATTCCGCGGTTTCTTGCATCTGCTAATTGATTCTTGATGATAGAATGTTGAACGAAGGGTTCGCATCTGGAGAACCGCACATCAAACTTTCGGTCTGGGACGCTCCGGACCTTTCTCGACCCACTTTCCAAGATGCCACAAGCCATGAATTTAGATCAACACATATTGGAGAAGCTTTTGGTCCTTCATGGTCAACCCATTGGTTTAAAGTACGCATCACCGTCCCATCGGAGTTCCAGAAAAAGGACCTATTGGAGTTGCATTGGGATGCCAACAATGAAGGAATGGTATGGACCGAGGACGGCAACCCTCTTCAGGGATTGACCGGAGGTGGTGAGAGAGTTGAATGGGTCTTACCGGACAGGTTCCGCGACGGAAAGGAACACACAATCTATATTGAGATGGGTGAGATAGAGACAAGACATATGGATCATACATTTCTCAACGCTAACATTAAAACCAGCTTGCAACGGAATGTTCGGTAACGCTCCAGGTGGCGATTCCATCCAACCCCCGAACCCAAATAAATATTTCCAACTCTCAAAGGCCGAGATTGTGGCTGTAAACGTGGAAGCCCGAGCTTTATGGATTGATATCTGGGAGATCAATGATGCTGCTAGAGAATTTCCATCGGACTCGTGGGAACAACATAAAGCTTTGAGGGTTGCAAATGATATAATTGATGCTTTTGAGTTAGGAAACCAAGATTCAATTCTTAAAGGCCGAAAAATTGCACAAGAATATCTGGGTGAGAATATCAACTCATCTGCGGTTTATGAGACTGGCACAAAGCCTATTGTTTATGGTATTGGCCATTGCCATATTGATACCTGTTGGCTTTGGCCATGGGCCGAGACCAAAAGAAAAGTTGCTAGGTCTTGGTCAAATCAATGTGATCTTATGGATCGTTACCCCGAGCATCGATTTGCTGTCTCCCAGGCTCAACAGTATAAATGGTTGAAACAGTACTATCCATACGTGTTTGATCGAGTTAAGGAAAAGGTCAAACAAGGAAAATTCCAACCTGTCGGAGGCAGTTGGGTTGAGCATGACACTAACCTGCCTAGTGGCGAGTCTCTCGTCCGTCAATTTTTGTATGGTCAAAGGTTCTTCGAAAGTAACTTTGGAGAGAGATCCAAGACATTTTGGCTACCAGATACTTTTGGTTACTCGAGTCAACTTCCTCAGCTGTGTCGCCTTGCAGGAATGAAACGCTTCTTCACTCAAAAACTTAGCTGGAACAACATTAACAATTTTCCACATACCACATTCAATTGGGTATCACTAGATGGTAGCCAAGTCATTTGTCACATGGCACCCTCCGAGACATATACTGCAAATGCCGATTTCGGCGATGTAAGAAGATCAGTAACCCAGCACAAATCCATGGATCAAGATGAGACGTCACTTCTTGTCTTTGGAAAGGGTGATGGTGGTGGAGGACCAACGTGGCAGATGGTTGAGAAGCTCAGACGTCTTCGTGGAATGAGCGATACTACTGGACTTATACCTAGAGTTCATATGGGTGACTCGGTTGACGATTTCTTTGATCGCTTGGAGGGAAGGGTTTCTGAGGGTCTAGACTTAGTGACCTGGTACGGTGAATTGTATTTTGAGCTGCACCGTGGAACCTACACGTAAGTTTCATTCCTTAAGGCTTCATAAATATTATGCTGACTCTCCCTAGAACGCAAGCGAACAATAAGCGTAATAACAGAAATTCTGAAATTATGCTACACAATATTGAACTTCTCTCAACAATTGCCAGTCTCAAAAGTAAGGACTTCAAGTATCCAAAAGAGGATATTGACGATATGTGGGAGGCTGTATTGTTGTGTCAGTTCCATGACTGCCTACCAGGATCATCAATTGAGATGTGTTACGACGACAGTGATGAGGTATGTGATTTGCACTTAGCTTTAGCTTCATACAATACTGACACGTGATAGCTATATGCCAAGGTATTTAAGACTGGTGAGAAGATTCTCAAAGAGCTTTACAAGACTCTAGGTGTAGGCCAGGCCGAAGACTCATCCAAGGATGGCGATCTTGTGGCCTTGAACACCATGCCATGGCACAGAAGAGAGATCGTGCCACTTGGTGATAACACTGCCGGAGTTGCTTGTGGACAAGGTAATCTCTTGAATATCAAGACTTTCAAGATTGCAGAGACACCCGAAGTGACTGTCAAGGAAGTCAGAGAGGGCGTTTTTGTGCTTCAAAACGAACAGCTCAAGGTCCAAGTCGAAGGTGGCGTAATTACTTCTCTGTATGATCTACAAGCCGACAGAGAAGTAGTAGCCAAAGGAGGTAAAGCTAATCAACTTGTCATATTCGACGATAAACCACTTTATTGGCAAGCTTGGGATGTGGAAGTTTTCCACTTGGATTCTCGCAAAGAGTTGCCTGCAGGAAATACTAAGATCGTGCAGAGTGATGCCCACAGAGTCAGTGTAATGACCGAGACCAAGATCAGCAAAGACAGCTGGATAAAGACTCATATTAGTTTATCGGCCGCATTCAAGGGTCAGCAATCCTATGTTGAAATGGATAGCGAAGTTGAATGGAGGGAGAGTATGAAGTTCCTCAAGGTTGAATTCCCCGTTGATATTCGAAATACGGAGGCATCCTACGAGACACAGTTCGGTATCGTTAAACGACCTACTCACTACAATACTACGTAAGTTTGGCATCATTCATTATCGGAGTACATAACTGACATGTTATAGCTGGGACATGGCCAAGTTTGAGGTTTGCTGTCACAAATTCGCCGATCTTTCGGAGAATCAATATGGTGTTTCCATTTTGAATGATAGCAAATACGGCTTTGCTACTTGTGGCAATGTGATGCGCTTGTCACTTCTTCGAGCCCCCAAAGCTCCAGATGCACATGCAGATATGGGTCGTCACCACATTCGTTGGGCTCTTCTGCCTCATCAGGGAGGTCTTGGCTCAACTACTGTCCGTACGGCATTTAACTTCAACAATCCATTAAAGCTTTGCAAGGCTTCGAAGGGTGTTCAAACCACCGCATTTGATAGTCCAATCAAACTTACGGGAGATTCGTCCTTGATCCTGGATACTGTTAAGCGCGGTGAAGACGACGAGGATGTCAGCCGTGGTGAATTGGCCAAGAGAAAGGGCCAGAGTGTTATTTTGAGAATCTACGATAGTTTGGGCGGAACTAGTAAGGGAACAATCGAGACGACACTGGATGTGAAGAGGGTTTGGAAGACCAATGTTTTGGAGGATGATGAAGAAGAGCTCAAGATCAAGGAAGGAAAGGTCGCGATCACATTGAAGCCCTTCGAGGTTGGCACATTCAGATTGCAGTTGTAGGTTCGGAATTATAAAGTCATGAGAGATGGCCTGGGATGAGTAAACTAGGGAATGATGAAGGGGCGATGATGGGATGATGATGATGATTGGTTCTTTCCTTAGTATATTAATACCACAACGAATTCCACAAACTTTTCGTCTTGCCAGGAACGAGACTTTTAGCTTGTTCGCTTTACCCATCTATCTACGTATCTATAGTTGTTGCCCGTATGTGAATGATATTTACACACTGGTGGCAAGTATTCCAGAATATTCTGCATGGTACCAAAATGAAGTAACAGAGGATCAGCCAAAGGGAAAAAGATATGTTAAAATAAAAGTACTTGCCTGCGGCAAGTATGATATCGTAGAGGAGGACACTAATGACTTCGCGAATACCAAAGCGAAGTTCCAGAGATTTCAGCGATGTGCGGTTCATATGAGCGACTAAAGAGAGTTAGTTGATAATGTAAAACAGATTGTCTCCACGAACCTCCTTTAAATATGGTGCCGTTGCTAGATGGTTCTTCGCCTAGAGTTTGAAGCATGGCAATAATGAG